AAGGTCTTGTGTCATTCCATTATTTGGCGATTAAGCATCTGGCTGTGAATACATCTACAATTACCTCTAAATTTATTTTGCATACCTGCCCCACATAATAAGTATGTCAGTTAACAAACAGATTGGGCTGATTACATACTCTTCTGACAATATGCACAAATGTGACACCATAAAATTACCATAACTGGAATGTCCCAAATTTTTTGTGTTATATTATGTCACTTAAAATTCCTGACAAATAAATGAGGAAGACAGTATGTGATGCCAAATAGCTTTAGACATGAAATGCTGATTCTTGCAATGGAATCTTAAGGGAACACAACACTGATTAACAGCATTTACATCTTCAGTTATTAATAAATGATTTTATTCTCTTTTAGTCAGTTGCACTTTCAACAAATTCAGTCTGAGGTCCTAAAGCATGAAAAAACACTTATAAAATATATATTTTTTAATTTCAGATAGAATACATCTAAGACACCCACTAAGAAAATTACATTTAGATATTAATTGTTGTAATATGGTTTATTTTAGGAGCTGTGCTGATGTCTGTGATGACAAAGATTACATTTTGACAACAATAACTAAAGTATACATGGGTTCTAACATTCATGTAAGCACCAACAGCACATATTTCTCATATCTGGGTTGTGTTTAAGGGAATTAGGGAGCTGTAAGAATCCCAGAACCTGCATACAGACAAGTACAGATCACATGCGATAAACCAAGAGAGTTGTAGCATCAGGAATTCACATGAGGAAAAATGATACTGTATTGTATAGCACCAAATAACTGTTCTGTTAAGATAAATGAGATAATATTCTTTAAAGTTGTTATAGATGAACCCCAAAGGCAATTGTTATCCTCAAGAAAAGAAACATAAGGCTCGGGCAGTGCATTAATAAAAACTGCAGGAACATCAAGTGATTTTGTTTCCAAGCCGTAGCAAAGAGCCATGAGTCCACCCATGAGAATCCCCGTTGTTTGGTAGAGTATGGTAGATGTTGATATTAACAGCAAAGCCTCTGGGCCAGAGCTGCATGGCAGGGCCTGATTGAAGCATTCAGAAGCAGTTTTATTTATGAACAAAGGGCCGACATTTAAGAAGCATTGTCTGCCTGACACTATAACTAACATCTGGCACACGCACACAGGCGGCGATCCTCACATGCAAGTTCTATTGTTGGATGTGCAACACATCAGACAGGCGATGGTACATCGACAACAAGGACACGAAAGCAGAGGAGTCACAAGCTCAGCCTGGTGGAGTTTAATGAAGCGGTCCACTTGCCACATTTTTCAGATACAGCTGTACATTTCAGTGCCACCAATATATTCTACCTGCCTGCTGGTTGCAAAGAATCCTGGCATTCTTCCAAGAGACTGCTTACTGTATAGAACCTAAAGCTAGTTAGGTTTTTTTCTTTTTACTGACCACTAGCTCCCATCACTCCCATTCTCTGAGCCAGCTGAGGCACTTAAGAGTCCTTAGGCAAAAAGCTAAAGTAGCACTCTTTAATCAGTGAAGTGGGTAGTGTGGTTGACCTCTATCCATGTCAGCTAACTCTGCCAGTTACCTTATGTCTGCATCAGTGCCTAACAGTTACTTCAATCCCCAAATCGATGTGTGTGAGAACTATGATGATTTGCCAAGCATAGCAGTGAGCATGACAGAAGTCCTACACAGCTGAGCATGCATTACATCTTTTCCTGTTGAAATCACACCTACTATAACTCTGATTGTGTCTGAGACAGCATGAGACTGTACCAAAAGTACAGGGATTGGGGCCACTGGGTAATTATACACTAAATGGCAAACGCTGAACAAAAAATGTCTTTCCACAAACGCTTTACAGACTTAGATAAAAAGATAGCAAAAGCCACAAAAAAAAAAAAAAAAAAAAGACCTAGCCAACAGGTTTCATGCCTGAACCTTCCATTTGTGGTTTCTGCTATCAGGGTTTACCGGTTTATTTATTCTGTGCATAACATTTATGACTGTGGTGCCCAAGAGACCTATTCAAACACTGCTGTAATATCTCAGTAATGGATGGCCTGCAGAATTTAAAGTAGCTGTTTAAACGTGCTTATGTTATCTCTATCAAGCGCAGTGAAAATAAAAACTTCTATTCAGGAACAAACACTTAAATACAAAGGTGTATTTTCATCTGCAAAATATGTTACATTTAATTACTTTATAATTATACATAAATCTCATACAATTTAATTACCTTCTGAATTCAATAAGTAGCCCATGGTATTTTAATATGCAAAACTAATGTCTGTAGGAACATATCTGTTTGCTGCCTCTTAAATAATGTAGGTCAGCTTGTCAGTGGCACAGAGCTGTCCAAATCATTAGATAACGCTAATAGGACCTTAACCTGAGGTAGTCACATCTGCAGTTGTATTAAACCTGTGTGATTTTTATCTAAAGGCATAGAAGTGGCACGCGATGGCACACAGCAAATGAAGGAGAAATGAGCTTTTACACCACACATGTAGCTTACCACAGGTTTGTATTAGCATATCTAATTAAGCATAATTGAATGCTTTCTACTATCCTATCTCCTGAGACCTAAATCTAACCCCTGCTGTATTTATGCAAAGGTCATCTGGAGACAACAAAATCCAATTACATACTGAATGGACTGTACATGAATTGTAATTGGGATGCGATCACAGCCCCAAAAACATCTTGATCTATAATGCTGCCAACAAACCTTGGTCTTTGACTTTAACTTGCTGGAGTCCCAAGTAGATGAGGAATATTTCATGAGACAGAATAGTAAATACAAGAACGCTCTACATAAATAAAAGGATTTCTAGATAATTTATGAAACATCGTCTAACATGATATGAATTCCTTTGGTGAAAGGAAACCATCCAGCACTCAAGAAAGGTCAAGACCAACAAAAACTCTGTGGGCAAACAGTGGAAAACTACAGGACTTTTACTCTTACAGGGACTGACAAACAAACAAACAGCTGAACAAGAGAGGTCCAAGATTCTGCATCGGAAAACTCTACAATAATCACACAGGACTGACTAAATAATCCAGATATTCAACAGCTGCATGTTAATGTTTCTGTATTAAATATGTTGTGCCAAAGTCTGATTGAATCAGCAGATCTATATTACAAGTCTGTGTACATAGGAATCTATGCAATACCAAAAATCTACACATATATTTAGGACTATTTTTTACATCTTTGGACCCACAAAGCTGACTTCAATCACAAACCATCACCTGATGACAAAAAGGAAAAGGGGGCAACACCAGAAGCCACCGTGTCTGCTTAGCTTCCTGTGCTCTGGAATATCACAAGCAAAATATGAAATAAAAACAACAGAGCAGCAACGCTATATTACACGATATACGTTCAAAAGCAGAAAGTGTGTAAGAAAAGATGAGTAATTATTCCATACCCAGTGTCTGGTCTTTTTTGTTTTAGTTTTTTTTTACAAAATCATGTCCTTTTGAGTTGTTGATCAATTGAATACATGTTGCTACTGGAGCAGAAACAATATGTTCACCGTTTCCCTTTCCACTCTTTCAGATTTCACTACAGCTCCTGATGTACACTTAACTTAATGGACTCTAACATTACAATTTTCATTTAGAGTTATAACTAAATGAAACTGCTATGGGATATATTACGTGGAATCCTTCACCCATTAAGTACAGACATCATCACCGACTTAGACACACCTTAAATCAGTAACAAAACTATCAAATTTCCATCTAGCCAAAAGCACATTAAAACCAAATACAGCAGCTATATGACCATTAATGCCTGACACTGTCAATTACCAATACAGTATCTATTTTGTCTGTTAGAGGCAATAGAGGGATTAACGTCAGTCCTCTCTGCTTCCCCTCTTCTCTCTCGTGAAGCAGACTGTTTACTGACTAATCTCCTTTCCTGCTTTGACCATAAATGTGATTACCACCACACAAGAGATAATAAAACCCCATATCTCTGCTATACCAAAGAGCAGGAATTAAAACCTAAGCTGTAGCCTTGAGGAATATCAGAAGGGGGAAAAATATCCACAGCAAAAGGAGTATTTCCTATTGAGTGCATACAGCCCCCTACTGGAAAACAGTATTCACTATTTAGCCAAATACAACAGAACAAGGTCCATGATGCTCTGTTGAATATGAGCAACAGGTATGCAGCCAGTTTCAAAACACCTCTAGTATCTTTGTTGCAAAGTTAGTCTTTATCTGGCTCCATTTAAGTAGATCTTTTTAGGAATTATCCTGAATGCGGGTGACTGGAAGTAAATTACTGGTGTGTCAAATGAAATTCCTGGGCTGTTAGTTGTGGTGTCATCTATTTATCAGTCTGTGGGTGAAGTCATTTTTGAGAGGCACTCTGCTCTTTTAATGGTCAAAAGGCAAAAACAAGTGGAATGTAACAAGTGGGGTCTGCCTGTGTTACAGTAAATAAGGTTTGAGTGCCATTAACTGTGTCAGTGTGCATTCTAAAATGTAAAATCTAAAATATCTGACACAAAGGCTAACTACATGGGGATGTAGAGTTGTGTGCTTTTGTACAGGTGGATCATTTTACATGTATTCTGGGCTTTAAATCCAGTGGAAGATAATGACTGAAATGCAGCTTGCTGTGATTCATTATTAAACAACATTGAAATGGAGGAGATCAGGCTTATTAAAAAAAACAACAACAACAACAACATTAAGCCCAATAAAAATGCCACTGCACACAGGGTAAATTCACACCAATGCTTTCTCAGTCTACCTCGTGAAACTTTGCATGTTGCAAAATCATACTTTCAATTCCCAGACTGACTTTATATGGATCACCCAATAAAACGTGATAACGGGATGTTAAATGTTCAAGGTTTGAAGGAAACTCATAGAGTTCAGGTGATCTGTGGCGGTCAGCAAATTGTTTAATTTGAGGGAGGAACAAGACATGACACGTGGTGACGGGAGCGAAACGATGCAATGAATTATCAGCTTCACCTACCTGATATTTCCTGATGAGGTACATTGACAAGGCTGAATCCTTTAGCGTTATAAGCTTGTCTAACCTCGCTACAGCTCCGAGCTTTGCTTTCACCACCAGATGACAGGGACAGCACCGACAGAGTACATAAGGCGACTTGCAGTCCCCACATCGCATACATCAGTGAAATCCTTGATAACGCTTCACAGGGAAATACGAGCTCCGTCAGAATAAAAGAAATCCAAAGGGCTGATTGAAAGATTTCTCCTCTAAGCACGATATCAGAGGTTCACTTAAACAAAAAGCACCCCTCACTTTAGATACTGCTGCGTCCACCTCATCCCAAAAGCTTCGTATCTTCCACTCGAAAAGAGAAGAAGCCCAATTTAGTCCGATTGCTCCCAGCTTGCACAAATCCGTTTGGAGAAGGCAGCTGCAACCTGGTGCTTTCTGTGCCAACAACTTCTCCCGCACACACAGCAGCCCTCTGTTTGTGTCAGGGTGGGAAAGGCGAAATGTAACGTAGACACACGCTGCACAGTGTGCACAGCGCATTAGGGCAGGGCAAAACACGGAGTGGAGTCGCTGCGACTTCAGTAACTCGCATCCAGGGGCGCACGCCGTCCTCTGCCTTTATGCATCCTTGGTAATGCGCATCACAGCACATGTAGTGTGTGGATACAGGTTGGAAGCGCGGGGACCAGAGGACTATAACGGCACACGGACGGAACACATATGGGTTGATTTCTTGGATTTTAACCACTCAACCAAATCCATGGCAATAATATGATGATGAACAGCGGCTGTCAAGATTTCTACCGAGGCTTTTGACGCGCGTGTGTTCACCCACCGACACGCGCACACGCTCATAAAGAAATAGCGATCATTTCAATTTTGCCCTGCACCATACTCTACTCACGCGTTATCTTATCTCTATCCATTATGTGCCATTTTTCCTTCTGCGATGAACATTTTCTTCACTTAATTTCAGATCCTAGACACATGGACAGTGGTTAATTGAGCTGTGTGAAATGGACTTCTTCCTAAAAGCCTCTTTTTGCCTAATGTTGGCTAAATTACAAATCATTTCTTGGTGTTCTTAGTGCAAAACCGCAATGCTTTCAGAGCGGATCCATTTGTCGGGAATTTTATTTATTTATTTATTTATGATGATCCTAACTAATTTAACTACACCAGCCACAAACAGCGCATTACATATGGCAACACAGAACTTACTTATCACACTATAACACCAAACATATTTCATAATGCTTTGCTTGAAGAAGGGAGGTTATCTTGTGATAATGAAGGCAATCTAACAAGAATCATGTCTTGTTAAAACGTGAAAGAATTTCTCTTGAGAGTATGAAAGTAGACTACATCTCGTTATACCTAGTCTCAACTCTCCCACAGTTTGTTTTTGTGGTTTGGGGAGCTACAGCTGGCTTGTTAAAATCAACTTTAAAATGTACTGTAAAAATCCAATTAGCAATAATTCATGCCTGTG